CTTGTGACAGCGTAAAAGCGATTAGAAAAATGAAATGGTTTTTGTGTTTTTTTTAAAATATAAAAAATATATATGCGCTCGTAAGTATAAAAATGTTTTGTTTTGTTTTGAAATAAATGTATAAAAGAATGGGCATGTTAAAAAAAATTATTTTTTATAATAAATAATGAAAAGGAGATTCGAGATTAAGTTTGCGTCCTATGTGCAATAGTCGTTTTGATGTTCTGGAAATCTTACTCTTCTTCCAGAACGCGTTGTCTTGAGTTTATCACTCGACGTTGACGAAGTATCGAGGTGTGTGTCGGCTGTCGTATGGTGTACTACAAGCGTAGGAGCGGTATCGTTCGATTATACCGAAGGAAATTCGACGTACCTAGGGTTTCTTTCTAAGTACTCTGCTTTTATTCGATCGACGCTGATGCTATCGTTCGTGCCGTTCTTATCGACTACATAGTACCTAGGTTCATGTTGAAGAACTTTGAAGGGTCCTCCGTATGCTGATTCGAGATGTCGTCGATGTGAGTCTTGACAAACGAAGACGTGTTTACTATGTCGTAAGTTAGGTTGAACGAAAACATCAGTTGATTGAGGTCGAGTATAAGCATGTTTAATTGAACACATTGCGTTTGTAAGCCTGCTCGTGTAATAGTTTAGATCCATGTTCAATGAAGAAGACGAAGGATCTACCAATTCTCCTGTAAGTCGGAGTGTCGTTCCATAAACGAGTTGAGATGCAGTGTATCCAATGTCAACTTTCACTGCATTGTGGATACCTAGCAAGATGAGTGGAAGAGCGTCTGTCCACTTTGAAACGTTTGTAGCTGATAGTGAAGCTTTGAGCTGTCGATGAAAACGTTCTACCAACCCGTTTGCTTGTGGGTGGTAGGCGGTCGTTCGGAAGCGAGTGATTCCTAAAAGTGAGGTCAGACAATGGAAAAGTCTAGATTCGAACTGGCGTCCGCGGTCTGTTGTGATGGTTGAAGGGCAGCCGAAATTTGCTACCCATCGTTCAACGAAAGCGCGAGCCACTGTTTCAGCAGTAATGTCCTTAATCGGTACTGCTTCTGGCCATCAAATGAAACGGTCTACGCATGTTAAGAAATATGAATATCCGTTTGAATCGGGTAAGGGTCCTACCAAATCTAGATGAACATGGTCGAAACGAGCGTCAGGGGTTTGAAAGAGCCTTAGGAACATTTGTCGTGTCTTATGACCTTAAATTTCTGACAGCTTACACAGGAGCGTGCCCACTTCCTCACGTCTTTATTCATACCAGGCCAGCAAAACCGTTCTGCTATGAGCTTGATGAATGCACGAACACCTGGATGATAAAGTTTGTGCAACGTATTGAAGACGTTGCGTCGATAATGTTTTGGAACGATTGGATGATCCCTACCTGTAGATGTGTCACACAGTAAGGTTTCCTTACCTGTTCCCATCTGCTTAGTACTTAGTTTTAGAGTTGCCGATGATAACTCATGCTGAAGATCAGTGTCTTCCTTTTTAGGCTGAGCGAGTTTAGGAGGGTCGATTCCTTGGAAACTGTTCAAGAAACTTATTCGAGACAAAGCGTCTGCAACTACCTTTTTTGCTCCAGAAATGTGTTGTATATCTGAAGTAGACTGCGAAATGTAGCCCAGTTGTCGAGACTCTCGCGGTGAGTACTTATCTGAAGATGAACTTAAAGAGAAAGTAAGAGGTTTATGGTCGGTAAAAAGCGTGAATTCTCTTCCTTCGATGGAATGTTGGAAATGCCGTACAGCACAATACATAGCTAGGAGTTCCCTACCGAACGTGCTGTACCTAGATTCCGCGTCTAGCAACCGTCTCGAGAAAAATCCTCAAGCTTGCCAAGAGTTGTTAACCCATTGTTGTAAGACTCCTCCGATTGCTAAGTTGGATGCGTCTACGGCGATAATAATGGGAGCTTGAATGTCCTGACGTGCCAGCAGAGTCGCCTTTGCAATGAGTTCCTCAATTGTGGAGAATGCTTTTCGCGCAGTGTCGTATAGACTAATTAATTTTCATTTCCACAAAGTTGGTCGGTTAACGATTTCATAAGGGATGCGCAATTTGGTATGAACCGTCTGTAGAACCTTACGAGGCCGTTAAAACTTCGCAACTGCTTGATCGTGGTCGGTTCTGGGTAATCCTGGATGGCCACCACTTTGCTTTTAAGGGGTCGTATTCCTCGAGCATCAATGGTGTGTCCTAAGAAGTCTAAAGAGTTTGTTCCGATTTGGCATTTCTGAATGTTTAGAGTAATGCCATGCCTTTGGAGTCGTTCGAAAACAATGTCCAGATGCTGGAGATGTGATTCTCTGTCCGGACTTGCTATGAGACAGTCATCAACATACGCATGTACGAAGTTGAGACCTCGGAAGACGTCGTCTATGAACCTTTGGAAGGTTTGAGCCGCGTTTCTTAAACCAAAAGGCATTCGTAAGAATCCGTAAAGGTCGAAAGGAGTGATGATGGTGGTTTTCGGAATGTCTTTGGTTGCCATCGGTATTTGGTTGTAAGCCTCAACTAAGTCGATTTTCGAAAAGACAGTTATACCTTTCAAGGTAGCCGTCAAATCGTGAATGTGGGGCAACGGGTAACGATCGGGAATGGTTTTAGCATTCAGACGCCGATAATCACCAGTTGGACGCCAATCATTGCTGTCCTTTTTAGGGACCATATGCAAAGGAGATGACCAAGGGCTATTTGACGGTCGAACTATTCCTGAGTCTATCATGTGGTCGAATTCGTTTTTAGCCAACCTAAGCTTTTCGGGAGCAAGTCGGCGGGCTTTTGAGAATACAGGTGGTCCTGTAGTCGAGATGTGATGTGTAACATTGATGGTTACACAAGGCAATTTCGGTTGCGGTTGATATATCCCGGAGTATTTATCGAGTAGTGATTGATATAGGGGTCTATGGCGTGCTTAATTGTGACTGGGGATAATCTGCAACCAGAAGAAGGAGTTACGCAAACAGATAACTTAATGTTTCCGTCTATTAACCTCCGTGAGCGTTGTCGATGAGTAGATTGTGTCATTGTGACAGGTCTGTACCAATGATTGGCATAAAAACATCTGCAACAACGAAAATCCAGTGTATGGGTTTGCGTAAACCCACATTAAGGTATACATACCTTTGACCATACGTAGCAACCGGCTTTCCGTTTGCCGCCTGTAAACTTAAAACAGACTCGTGAAGTCTGTCGCTAGAGTTCGCGGGAGGAACCCTAACTTCTGCGCCGGTGTCGACGAGGTAGCGAACTTTCGTTGTCACATCCGTGACGTATAACAGACGGCTATGTTCGCCGACTGCGGTTGCCGTCAACGCGTGCCGGCTGGGAAGTCTCCCTAGTCCTTTTTCGAGTCAGTGGATTTGGAGTTCGGTCATTGCGAAATCTAAGATATCGTGTAACAGTGTGACATAGTTCGGCTATGTCAGTCGGGGGCGATTGAGGTTTCTCCTTGACGGAAAAAACCTCAGCGCTAGTCGATTTCGTTATTTCTAAGATTTGATCGGCAGATGCTGCGAGTTCGTCTACGGCGTTGTTTTGAAACGAGATGAGCTCTGCCTGCACCTGTTTCGGGAGTTCATACAAGAAAAGTTGTTTGAATAGGCCATCGTCGAACGTTCGTTGACCTATGACTTCTCTCATCCTTAACATGTCCGTCACGGAACCATGTTGCAGGTCGATATCGTTAAGTAGTTGGTCTAACCGTAGTCGATCAGTCAAATCTCAGCGTTTTAGAATCGACCGTTTGAGAGTTTCGTAACGTTCCGGAACATCACTAGTGAACATACTAGGTGTTACTTACCTATCAAACTCGCGCGGTAACGCCTTACCTACCGCGAGGAATCGTAAGCGTGAGTCCGTGATTCCATGTGAGCAAAAGTCAGCTTCTGCGTAGCAGAACCAGGACTCGATATTATCAGGCCAGAAGGGAGTTAATTGAATCGATGGCGGGGGAATGGCCCTTAACTTAAATACTTGGGGTGTCTGTTCGGTCATTGTGAAAAATTAGGTATTATGATGAACGGAAAATAAATAATTAAAGTATATATGCAAACTCGAGAGAAAATATCACAATATATAAAAGTCAAATTAAGCAACACAATGATTAATGAAATTCCAAAAAGGAACAGACTCACAGTTTATTGGCTTGGTGTACCAGATCACGTCGGTCTCACCACTGAAGATACGACTAGTATTCTGATTTTACAACCTGGTACCAGTGGCACCTTCTATATACGAAGCTTTCCTGAACCAAATGAAATCAGAAATCAGATGTGAAGAGGTAGGAAAGATATATTCGATACGTTATCAATATATCGCGAAGCGTTTACTCTAAGCTGGCTAGTGAACGTAGGAGCTGTGTCCCAAGCTGGTTCGAAACGTGATCTGGTACGGATGCATGACCGAAAACCTTCAGTTAAACAAGTCCACTTAAACAAATGTGGTCAGTATCCAATGTCAAACACTTAATGAGTTATTGATTTTAGGGAATTATTTACAGCTACAAAGTTAATTCACAATTGTAAATAGTCGGGTTACTCCAAACATAATTGATATAATTCAAAATATGTCTTCAGAGTGATCAAATAAAGGAAATATCAACAAGATCTGTAAACAAAGACAGCAAATATATTACAGTTCTATTATTGTGACGATTGATCAGTGAGAACGAGAAGTATGTGTATGCGGCAGTGTATTTGTAAGTGATAACCGAAGTATTGTGTAATGGAAATACAGACTGGGAACGGAAGATCAAGGCCAAAAAATTTCAAGTAACAATTCTGCAGTCAGTAACAGTGATTATGTGAAGTCGCGAAAAAGTGAAAATAATAACTAAAACTAATTACATAACGAGTTCACGTTGACTGTCTCCACGGGTAGTAAACAATTGAAATCGAGTCAACCTTGGTCTAAGTATTAGGCGAGAAATAACAGATGGAAATAACTACGTAAACCTCATCACTTCGCTTGTGTTGGATGAAGAGGGTTAATCAATTTCGTTTGTAATAACTAATATAAGGCCACTTATGGCAGCGCAGTAGTGAAATGATAACGCTACGACTGTCATCTTACTTGTGATCCTCTTTCTTTTCGTTATTCTTATGGGAAAGAATGATCAAAATAAGTGGAAATACTGTTATACCTTTTGTCACTTGGGCACATACTCCACCTGACCATCAAATAACTTCCATTTTATTGTCTGAAGATGGGGAAAGTGTCGCCACTGGATCGGCAGATGGGAATATTATTCTATGGAGTATAGGAAATTCCTGCTCATGTGCTCCAAGGTGGATGCTAACTGGGCACAAGTCCTTGGTCTCCAATCTGTGCATTGCAGGAAGGTCTCCCATAACCAAAAATCAATTTTTCTTTAGCTATTCAATCAATGGGTAAGTTACTGTTTGCAGTGTTTGATTTCTTTGTTTTCTTTCGCTCCGACGAATACGGAAAGTCAGTAGATAGTATTGAGGGCGTATTTCACAATGTTTCAAGGCCCTGCTCTCACAGATATACAAACTTTCGAGATAAGTTGTTTCAGTTTAGGGAGCTTTCACTACTTTGACAGTCTTTTTAAAACACCTCTTATTGACATGAAAGTATTGGTTGCAACTACGTATTTCAGTGGTATGATCAAGCGTAAATCTTGCTTGATCATAGTATTAAATGTAATTATACCAGTGTTGTAAGTTTTATGTACACCGTCTCATTGACGGTTCCAGTTTGTTAAGCATTTCACACTGACGACTACAAACCAACAGTCTTACTCAAATACACATAGTCCATATAGGTGTTACTTTTAGTTGTGACACTAGGGGAGTCTTTAATTATAGAGTTGCGAGTTGGTTTCACAGTGTATTTTTAAAATATTTTGGGACCATCAGCAACGCTGACATACAAATAAACACCTTAGCAATTTAGCGCAGCAATATGTTGAGCTGTGAACACTTATTCCCTTATCTTACCCTTAATGGCGCAATAAAGTAGAGTACTTTAATTAGTCCTTATAAGTGTTTATAGCCCAGATGTGATGTTTAAGAAATTTGAATTTGATTTTCATACTTCACAGTAGCGATCCACCTTAAAAGTAACCAGAATATTTGTTTTTTTGCTAACAAAAAACAAAATGTAGTGCTCCACTTCGGCTTCATAAGCTGCTTCGGGTTTTACAAAGATTCCAGATCAGGTAGACGGTGAATATTTAATAAATAAATATTCAATAGCAAAACTGATCATTTTGTCGCTTCATTTTTGTCAGGAGTCTTTTTAATTAAAAGCTCTTAGAGACAAGTGTAATTATTTTTTTGGCATAAATACAAGCACATGTGTGTAAGTGTTTCTTCAGAAAACCTTGTGGATAACCCATTTCAATCAACATATTATGTATGAACTCTAACTCCTTGTTAATTGCATCGGCTGAAAATATCTTCCTAGTTCTATTGCCAGACATTTGACTAAGTTTTTCTTATAGTGAGGGGGTACAAAGCTTAAGAAATGTGTGTACTGGCTTGATGAAGAAGTTTTCCTATACACACTTCTACTGATAGAACCATTTGCTTTTCTGCTTAACAAAACGTCAAGAAAATGTAGTTTATTACCTAGTTCCTATTCACATGTAAATTTAATTGCTGGGTCTTTGTTGTTAAATAGTTCTAATAGTTCTTTTTTTCCAACGTCCTGATCGACAATAATGAAAGCATCATCAACGTACCGACAATAGAAGCCAAGCTTATTGATAACATCTTTGAGTGGTCCGTTTTCTAGTTTCGCAAGAAAAAAAATCACCAAGGATATGACCTAGAGGTGAATCCATCGCTATACCATCAATTTGTCTATAATATGTGTTATTAAAGACAAAATGGACATTCATTGTACATTTCAGAAGTAATTTTTTAGGACTGACCTCAGGAATTCCAATATTGATTTGTTTTCCAAGTAATTGTTGGCACACAAAGTCAATAGTCTCAGTTAATGGTACATTGATGAACAGAGAAGCAACATCTAGAGATATCATCCGTTTCCCATTTAAGTTCATGTGTTCGAATTTCGAAATGAAATGGGAAACGTCTTTCACGCTTCTGTTGACGATTAGCTTGTGTAAGGGATCTAGGATTCGAACTAGCCACTTTGCAGTTTTATGGTAAGGTGAATTATACATATCTAAAACTGGACGAAGAGAAAGATCTGTCTTGTGAACTTTGGGTAAACCATAGAGTCGTGGTGTGTTCGATCCAGTGGGTTTTAGTAAATTGTGTATAGTTGGAGTAAGTATTCCTTTATTTTTTAATTCCTTGAGTGAACTAGTCAGCATTTTCTCTGTTTTCATATTTATGTCTTTCATGTCGTTAAGTTTTTGAAATTTAGTCGTGTCATTCAAAATCGAGTTCGTGTGACCAGGAATTTATGTGTCCTCGGGAAATACTGCACAAATCATATATTTGTGTCAGAGGTTTTTTCTTTTGAAGCTTTCATGGCAATGTAAGCATACGTCAGAAGCATCCATTTCTATCTTAATGCAAAATATGACTTCAGGACTGGTCTGCATCTATTATTGTAATTTGTGAGCTAATTGATAAAACAATCACCTTAACTGACAGTCTTATCAGCCTTGGTATGTTTGTAGATTGCAAAATATTCACATAGATAAAACTCACTTATTGGTTTCCAACTTGAGATATATATGGCGTATGCAAGATATTTCTTGTCTATTAAAGGACGAGTAACTCTTCAGCTCAACACTTTATTACTATATGGCTACGAAATATGACTTATAAAAGTAGGTGGCGTGCATAAGTGGTAATTATTTGGTTATGGTTCTTTCTAAATTATTCCTGGCTTTATTTGTGTAGAGTATTCGGGAAAATTTGTACCTGCCTCATGCTCTGGCTGCGAGCGTATTCTTAAGCTAATACACAAATAGAATATCGTATATATCTATACGCGTTCTAAACCAGATTTTTTAACAGCTAGGTATGTTTATATTCGAGTATTAATTTGTTTCCTGTAACTAGTTTTGATAGTCCATTTTTGCTTTTTTAAGAATTAGGAGTAATCAATTAGTTGTCACTGAGAAATCCGTTGGACTAATATCTTTCCTAGGATTCCAGGGCTTTCACCTGTCTAACATCTAACCTTAACTCAGGAATAGCAAACATAGGAGGAATCAAACAGCGGGTTCAGAGATAATTGAAGTTGTGTCCGAGAGAATATTTTCGTTCAGAGCCTGACATGCAAACATATTGTTGTTCATTTGGGGTCATATTCACTTAAAGTTAGCATATAAATCCGGGGGCTAAGATGTTATGTAACAGTGTTTGACTCTGTATGGTCTCTTGTAAATCACACTAGCTTCTATTTTCAGAATTTGTTTGAACTGCTACGATGCATTCTTTTTTTCCATGTCCAAAGACTAACGTCTCTAAATGAAGTTTGACACAATCACGAAATTTCAAATAAGATAGTTGAAAATGTGTTATGAGTGAAATTTCATAAATATAGATTGATGGAACGTGATCATGTCATGTTAGAATTAATTATTATTATCGTTTAAAGAAACGTTTTAAATTCGTAGCTAATTCAAATAATGTAGACGGTTTTTAAACCTTGAAATTTTTAGATAAATTTTTGTTGAATCGAACCCCAAATCACGAGTTTTTTTGACGACACGTTTACTTTAACTTACTTTATGGTGACTCATTGGTTGGTTTTTATGTATACTATTCCATACGTACATTTTTGTTAAGCCATTAGGGGCTATGTACATACTAATTCACAACGTTGTAGCTTTACTTCTAAAATTGTAGCACTTATGGTTATCGGATGGCTCATTTTTCTCAAACATGGCGATATTAGGTGAATGAATCAACTGTACTGTTTTGAAAATGTAGGATTTCACAAAAGCCTATTCACTATTAATAAAAACTATGAAGTATATTAATTACTGTTGAGAGGCAAGTTGATCACTACTTGGAATTCAATTCTGTCTTAAACGCATTTTAAGAATCAGTAGTATAAAGATTGCACACTTTAGCTTCCATCTTATTTCTCCCTATAAAATTTACAACAGCGTAAATGTTGCCTTATCTGGATGTAAGATACAACTGTAATTTAACGTCTAGTAGAACTGCTTTGATCTAGAGATCTTGGTAGGTTCAACAGGTTTTTGAGGAATAACTTATTAGTTGACATCTAGGTATCAAATCATAGGACCAAAGCTCTACTTTTCTATTCATGCCCATATCATTCACTAAAAAAATGCGTTGTTCATTCACCAAATCACTCACTTAAGAATAATGATTACTTGAATAATTTGTACGGTCTCGATTATTATTCAGACTTGTTAAGGAAACTGGTATTAGGAACCCAACTGTCAGCTAAACTATCTCGGAAAAAGATGTACACATTATTCATTCTCAATCCAGAAGATTGGATCAATGGGCAGAACACATTAGGGATCAGTCCAGCTGACCTTCAGCCACACCTCGGTTTCCCACAATCCTCAATCAACATGAATAGCAAGTTAATGTAAATTCGCCAACTCTTTAAGAGATTGAAAAAGCCATAGGAAATCCCCCTCGAAATGCAAAATGTTACTTCAGGATTGGGTTGCATCGACACCCGAACTAATGATAAGGAGTGAAGTAGTTGAGCGTGTCGACTGCTTCACTTGGGAGTCTCATCAACCTTTGTGGTGTAGTGTGTGACGAAATCCCAGCACGGATACAGAAGGCTTGTCTAGCTTTTGCCAACTTGTGTCATTTATGGCGTAGTCGAGATATCCGTCTACCAACCAAAGGACGAGTTTATTGCGCAACAGTTCGTTTCGTCCTACTTTATGGCAGTGAACCATGGCCGGTAAGAGTAGAAGACAATATTCTTAGGCTGTTAGTATTCGATCATATGTGTCTTCGAAGCATTGCTCGTATATCCTGGGACCATCGAGTAAGTAATGCAGTTGTTAGGAAACGGGTACTAAGTAAGGATGGCAAATCGATTAATGAAGTAGCGAAACTTCATCAGTTGAGATGGCTGGGACACGTGTTACGTATGCCCAACCACCGACTGCCCCGAAGAGCAATGTTTTATGGTGTAGAAGTAGGTTGGAAGAAAACTAGAGGCGGCCAGACCAAAACGTGGCACAAATCAATGAAGTCACTGACAAGTGGATTGGGCCATGTTGGTAGGTGTAGACTACCTGGTTGGGATTCGCGAGATGACAGCAACCGATGGTTAGAGACCTTGAATGACATGGCTCAAAATCGTTTGCAATGGCGAAGATGCATCCGCTCTTTTGTGTTCTACCAAATTCTAATCTTCTGAATTCCTCATGTCTTTATCTTTTTCTCTTTCCAAATTTATTTCACTGTATTATACTCCTTCAATAACATCTTCAAACCTTAATCTTTCACATAATGTTTATACTCTTACTACTTCTACCACTATGGGATTTGAATCGACAACTGCATCTCTGTGTTATTGTGGTATTGCAACTCGGACTGATGTAGGTACGTACGAAGTTCTGCGTTGTGACTGACTGACTGATTCGCTTTCTCCTCATAACTATTGTTATCTAATTGTTCTACTATTTTAGCGAAATGGCTGTTTGGAATTGGAATGACGGCAAATGCTTAGAATTCAAAATGGACACACGTTATCGTCATACATATATCAAAGTGTGTTGTTTTATTATTTGTTTGTTATACTATTTGTAATTATCTCCTTATTTTTTTATACTTTTCGATAACCTACTATTTTTACTTGTTTCACTAACCTACTTGTTACTGTCAATAAATATTTCAGTAGTTACTTCTTCATTTAAAGCTTAGGATACCAATTGGCTTTTGCCAACTTGCGTCACATGTGTTGTAGTCGAGATATCCGTCTGCCAACCAAGGACGAATATACCATGGAGCTGTTTGTTCTGTTCTGTTTTATGGCAGTGTAAAGTGACTTTTAGAAACAAAAGATGCTCATAAGTCATTAGTATTTAATCATAGATGCCTTCAATATACTGCTCTCATATGTTTGGAGGATCGAGTGAGCAATGATGTGCTGTGCTGTACTGAGAATTCCATATTGTACCAAATATATATTGAATAAATACATAAATTAATAATAATAATAATGCTGAATTTAACGATGATAAATTAGTTAATAAAGTAGTCAATCTTCATAAACTAAATTGATTGGAACATGCATTACTTATTATTACCACTTTCTACCTCGATTGGGAAGTAGAAGTTGTAAGAAAGCTAGTTGCGGCCAAACTGTTGGTCTGAGCTGTGTTAGCAGACACATACTAATTGGTTAGGGTCCGCTCCATAACTACGATCAGTGTTTGGAGACGTTGTGTGTTATGACCTAAAATAAATCACAACGGTTCAGATGCATTCATCCTTTATCTTCCACTAAATCTTGAGCCTCAATAAATGCTTACTGATGATATTGATTAATGGTCAAATTCAAGCAAAGGAGTTTTCTATTGCTCAATCAATCATTTCTTCATTCGTCCTCTTCTTGTTTTTGCAGTCACATCAGACATGTTACCTTGACTATCGTCTACTTTTTTGTTGTGGTCAATATGCACATATTGTTGTATTACATGCTACTTCACTGGCTGTTCTATTCACTTTGGCTTCAAATTCACAACCGGATTGGATATCTTCATTTGTTGTTGTTACACATCCAAATCAACGAAGTAAGTTCTTGTTCTTGAAGTTGTTATAGTTGTCTTTGTAATTTGTCACACTATAATGTTTTATTTTTTAGATTTTTGCAAGTTATACATTTAATTTCTTAATTAATGACACCGTTTGAAAATTGCGGCTAAAATCTCGCGGGATTTCCGTCATTCAAAATCTTGTAAGTTTGTAAGACTCCATTAGTGTCTTTTTGTTGGGAGTTGGCGAACCCTGATTCCAAACCAATAGTGCACATGGGCTCCAGGATCCTGAAGGGACGAATGGCGTATGAACCAACTGTTGGTCACCGACTACCATGGAACTGCATCTCCTTACGATGCTCCCAAGGTCCGAAGGCGAAGTCGTACTGCTGACTGTACAGAGGTGTGAAAGAAGTAAGGTGTTTCCTTCAGACAACCAGCATGACAGCGATGCTGCCTTCCCATAAGGAGGGATGGGGTTAGAGAAGGTCGACCCTAAAAATGCACACCTCGCCTTATCCCACGGATTTCCGTCTCCGGCGGTAAGGACTTTTGAAGAACGGAGCTAACACGTCAAAAATCCCCCACAAAAAGGCAGTGCGTGACCGGCCTCAAGCAGTTGTCCCTTGGGCACTGCGGTCACGCTCCCAGGTCGTTAAGACCAACACTAATCCAACTTCTTTTTCAGGTCCCTCGAGAAATACCCTTCCACGGTGTGGGCAGCCGGGAAGTGATACTAGCCCTCATACCCGTAACTGCACACGAGACCAAGTTGGTCACTTTCAAATCCTTTCTACACCTCCTAATAACTCTGTTATCTCCACGACTAACCCTTCCCACGTCCTTTTATCACCTCGCACCGCTAGGGCAAACGATTCAAGTACACAGAACGTTATTCCTGGTCTCCTGAAACCACGCTCTAAACTACATGTAGGAACTTTTAATGTCCGAACATTGTGCCGAATGGGAAGGACAACAGGCTTCCTTAGCTAGGACTCTAGAATCTTACACCATCGATGTATGCTGCGTCTCCGAAACGCGCATACAAGATCCGAGTAGTGTCATTCATTTGACCGCACCTAATCAAAATAAAGATTCATCTCGATACACGCTTTGTGTATCTGGAAGCCCTGATGCTGCTTCCCGTTGCCTCGCTGGAGTAGGTATAGCATTAAGTCGTAGGGCAGAACTAGCTCTTTTAGACTGGATCCCAGTAGACAGTCGTCTATGTGCTGTCCGACTAAACGGATCAGTAAGGACCCGGAAAGATAGGGAAACTCGTCGTTGCCTCTTCGTCGTCTCTGCCTACTCTCCCACTGACTGCAGCTCAGACGATATAAAAGATGAGTTCTACAGGAAACTTTCTGACCTTCTCCGAGAAGCTAGGCGTTCTGATGTAGTAATAGTAGCAGGTGACTTTAATGCTCAAGTAGGTAAACTAAGTGAAAGGGAAAGACACCCGGGTGGATCTTATGGTGTCATGGCGAAAAGAACAGATAATGGCGACCGTCTGTTGCAGCTATGCTCAGATAACCGCCTATTTCTTGCAAATACTAACTTTAAGCATGAGGAAAAACATCTTTTGACATGGCGACCCCCGAATTCGTCCCAACGTTGGACTCAATTAGATCACATCGCTATCAGCCACCGATGGAGGGGCTCGATAGAAGACTGTCGCTCATTCTGGGGCACATGTTTAGATTCAGATCATGCTCTAGTGCGAGCACGTATCTGTCTGCGTCTTACTGATCGTAGGAATGACACTGCAGGGAAGCCTCTAAGGGTTCTACTTAATGATAGGCAAGCTAAGAATATATTTCAGGAACAACTAGAAAAACAGTTAGGCAGCCATGTAAGTTGTGTCCACCCCGAGGCAGCGTGGATTGACATCAGAAAAGCTGTGGAAACAGCAGTGATGTCCGCTAGTAAGGTAAACCATAACGTTAGGGAGAAACAATGGGTCTCGGCAGCATCTACCGCACTGATAGATGCTCGTAAACTCATCCCACCTGGCTCTGAACATAACGAAGAGCGGAGTCAACTTAAGCGCAGGCTTATAAGAAGCCTACGTAATGATCGTGAACAGTGGTGGGTAGCGAAAGCAAGAGAGATGGAAAAGGCAGCGGCAATAGGTAACAGTAGGCAGCTATTCAGACTCGTTAAAGAAACCGGTATTAGGAACCCGAATATCAGTGAAACCATATCAGATAAAGATGGGCATATTATTCATTCTCAATCCAGGAGATTGGATCGATGGGCAGAACACTTTAGGGATCAGTTCAACTGGCCTTCAGCCACACTTCAGTTACTCATGATCCCCAGTCGTCCTGAATGGAAAATTGAGGTAAGTTCTTCAACCCTCTGCGAGGTTGAAAAAGCTATAGGAAATCTGAAACGAGGGAGAGCCGCAGGCCCTGACAGGTTTACTCCTGAGATTTTTAAGGATGGTGGTCCAGTACTAGCAGTGAGATTGACTGAGGTCTTAGGTAGAATCTGGGAACTGGACGTAATTCCATCTGACTGGTCCCAATCACTGATTGTGCCAGTCTATAAGAAAGGACAAAATTCCTCCTGTGACAATCACAGAGGGGTCAGTTTGACACGAAATCGCTTGCAATGGCGAAGGTGCATCCACTCTTTTGTGTTCTACCAAATTCTAATCTTCTGAATTCCTCATGTCTTTATCTTTTTCTCTTTCCAAATTTATTTCACTGTACTATACTCCTTCAATAATTTCTTCAAACCCTAATCTTTTGGATTTCTGATTATACTCCTACTACTTCTACCACTATGGGATTTGAATCGACAACTGCATCTCTGTGCTAATGTGATATGGCAACTCGAACTGATGTACGTACGTACATACGAAGTTCTACGTTGTGACTGACTGACTGACTGACGATGCTCCACTGCCTTGTGGACTAGACCTTTAGGTCAAAGGCTCCGGGTGTGGCCCCCTAAGAAAACCACCTGCTTCAGTTTGGGCACCTGAGCAGTATCACAGCCCTCACCCAAATCGAATGAGATTTGTGAGGCGCATATGTATCTGGTGCTTCCTTGTACCAATATTTATGTGTTTAAATAAATAAATAAATGTCTTTTTGTAAATTAGAAGATTAGTAGATTCACTTATGTATGAAGGATTACGTGACATAATTTGCCGTTTGATTCATTAAGTTCTTCTAAATGAATAATCTCGTGGTTATTTTATCGCTACGATCGAGTTAAGGGACTGAATTCCCCTAAACCCACTTCATTCTACTGAGGCACGACGGTTTATTACATATACCCCGGCAAAATATTTAGAAAAAAACTATTGCTTTTGATAATGGCATCAAATCTACTTAAGATAATGTATTCATCTTAGGTAAGTATTGCTTTAACTGCTGTAGAGATATATGCATAGTATTGTCAGTCATTACCAATATAGTATCTAGCATTAGTGTTCACTAATCCTAGTTGTCACTTTTCAGTTTAGCACAGCGACAGGAAATCAATAGAATGAGAATAATATGATAGTTAAGTTATATATATATATATATATATATATATATATATATATATATATATATATATATATATATATATATATATATATATATATATATATATATATATAGCACTTCTAAGTGTTTTAGCTTTACCATTTTCTTATTAACCTTATCTTAAACTTTTATTTGGGCCGTAATTTGTCACTATAACATCTTCCACTCATAAACTAGAACCAATTATTTGTATACCTAGGACTCTGTTTTCCTGTTATTAATGTTGTTATTCCGCGCTAATACTGTTACCCAATTGGTCTGGTGTGTGGTCTGGTCTTGTGTGTATATAAATGAATATCTGGAACATAATAATCTTGGACTGGTGAACATTGTTCTTGCATTCTTCCTCTTCGTTTAGGGCTAGTTAATATTGAGCCATCTATCAGGCATAGAGTATCAGTCTTGCAAGTCCTTGCTGCACATTGGTTGCTTAAGGTTGTCTACGCGTATTGGTTGGTTGTAGGACGTCACATATTTAGACTATCATGTTGTGATCCGCGCGGTTGTTATAACCAGTGGTTGGGGGGTGTTGTGTCATGGGTTATGACTGATTACAGTGTTGTAAATGCATTTACTCTGTGTTTCCTCTTAGATCCTGAGTTTCAAAATTATTCTGTACCTTTTATTCCATAAGTTCATTCTTTCTTCTCGAATCCTGTTTATGTGGCACATATCTATTTGGTGCCCTCCTGTACCCATGTTTATGTGTTTAAATTATATAAATAAATCTGTCTATGCCTAATATTTCCGACTACCACTGACACTGTTATTGCTTCCACTACTCTGGTACTTGTGTTAAAGATTTCGTTTCATTGTACTGTTCTAGTGTAATACCTTGAACCCATATATATATATATATATATATATATATATATATATATATATATATATATATATATATATATATATATATCAGTCAGTCACAACGTAGAACTTCGTATGTACGTACGTACATCAGTTCGAGTTGCCATATCACATTAGCACAGAGATGCAGTTGTCGATTCAAATCCCATAGTGGTAGAAGTAGTAGGAGTATAATCAGAAATCCAAAAGATTAGGGTTTGAAGAAATTATTGAAGGAGTATAGTACAGTGAAATAAATTTGGAAAGAGAAAAAGATAAAGACATGAGGAATTCAGAAGATTAGAATTTGGTAGAACACAAAAGAGCGGATGCATCTTCGCCATTGCAAACGATTTTGAGCCATGTCATTCAAGGTCTCTAACCATCGGTTGCTGTCATCTCGCGAATCCCAACCAGGTAGTCTACACCTACCAACATGGCCCAATCCACTTGTCAGTGACTTCATTGATTTGTGCCACGTTTTGGTCTGGCCGCCTCTAGTTTTCTTCCAACCTACTTCTACACCATAAAACATTGCTCTTCGGGGCAGTCGGTGGTTGGGCATACGTAACACGTGTCCCAGCCATCTCAACTGATGAAGTTTCACTACTTCATCAATCGATTTGCCATCCCTACCTAGTACTCGTT